GTACCTTCGGACCACTGTAGTGCATCCATTTGTATATTACATAAATAACAGCAAACACTTACCTGGTTTACCCTTAAAGTGGTAATCCCACTGATATGGTTAAATAAAGTTTTTGAACGTGGTTGCATGAAAAGTAGTTTTATATTTTTAACGCTTATCCTGTAATTATATGTAATTTACACTCGTTTGATAATAAATAAAATATCTTCAATGAAATTTCAAATAATTATTGTTGCACAATTTTCTGAGGCAATTACTAATATGATGAGTATATTTATTTTTACTAACGTTAATATCTTTCATTAAATTAGGGTATATGTAACTTTCAAAACAATTTTTCATTTTTGTTTTGTTAATTAATCACTTTGTTTTAAAAATGATGAATATTGAAAATTGTGTTATCAAAACTATCAACTCTTTTTCTTAATAGTGTTTTCTCTAGATGGGGAATAGACTTTAATAAAATATTGTTAATATGTTTATTTAAAATATTGTTAAGCCTAGCTTAATTATCTTCGATATTTTTTCTAGATAGATTTTGCCGAATGTTTCTATTAAACTGCACCAATATTGTGATTACATTTATTCCCTCTTAAATACAGTACTTTCGGTCTCGCAAATAGCACCCAGTATGATTTTGATGAAGCTGATGTGGGCAGAATAACACAATAAAAACTAGGAACGATTAAGTTGGTTTTAAAAATTGCATTTGTGTACAGTAGACTTACCTGATGCATTCAAGCGTCATTTTCTTCATCACAAGAGAATTCTCTGTATTCGTAGATAGAAATGAACAGAGTAGAAGCAAAAAACGTTGAGGCATGTTCACCTGCAATAACATTAATGGGATGACCTGAAGTTTTCCCAAACTTTCGAAATAGTGTAATTTTCACCGTACCTTGGAACCATTTGTAAAATTTCCCTTTATTTTCTTTTTGTTATGGGAATATAAATGTGCTGTTCCGGAAATTGTATTAATTGCATAATTAATATCTTCTGAGAGAGTGTAATTTCATAACATAAACATTGAATCAAATAATATGTTAATGCAATTTGTATGATTACAAGTGTTGATTAGTAGAAACTGTATTCGCAATCGTGATCTCAAGGAGGATCTCTACTTTTACCTTTTAATTGAAGCAGCGTTTCATAAATGTTTCAGAAAATCGTAATATTGCTAATGTTTTTGTACTAATTATAGCGAATTCAACATATCCCTAACCTTGTTATTGATGCACTTAGGAAACACACCTCTTTCAATCTCTTCAATCAATTATTTAATATTATATTCATCAAAATGAATTTTATTTTAAAATATAGAACAGTCAAGATTCGTGTAATAACTGAAATTGAAGTAAGAAATTTCTCCTAAACTTGAATAATCTTAAATTGAATAATATGGTGTTATTTGATGAATTTTTAAAGTAATTGGCAACGAAGTTTATGCAAGGTATTTATTCACACATGATTCATGGAGCTCAAATATTGCCCTTGATAACTATTTCTATTCGTTTATTTTATGACAATTTATTCGTTTATTTTATGATATTTTATTGTTTTTTTTGTGCCAATTATTGTGAGTATTTTGCGTATAATGTTTTATTGAATCAAAATTATGTGTCAGTAACATGAATCAATTCATTGTATCAGTCGTTAAAACATAGTAAATACTTAGAATAAAATGTTTAAAGAAATGAAATTCTAAGCAAACATTTCAAATGCTGGACACGAAAACAAGTTCATTAGATACAGCAGCGGAGATTAGATGTATGAGATACTATTTTAAGATATAAATGGCACATTCGTGTTTTGAATGCATTATTCTATAGAAAAGATATGTAAATTGGTTTCTCAAATGAAAGCGTACGTTTTATGTTGAATGTTGCACTGTGTTTGTGAGGTGAATGAACATGGGGATAGTTTGGAAGGGAAATAATACACTTGGTTAGCCTTTATGATATTTATTAATAGTAAATGGTCTTATATCTTTAAGTAATCATTAACAATAATTACCATACAATCACAATCAAGCACTAAAATGACACTTGAGTGGAGGGGGCGACGGAGGACTGGGGGTGGGGATGGAGGTGGGACAGGATACGTTAAGTTAATGATTATTCCATTCTTCGTTTTGCTTCATTTCTAGATTCTGCAGTCATGAGCAGTGCCAATCAAATTCTCGGCGGGTGCCGAGCGCTTTGCGTCCGTTTAACACTTAATAATACAAACATTTGGTGGTTTCTCAGGCCAAAATATTCATTAGTATTAGTAATATTAGCAGTAGTTGGTAATTATGTCCTTGGCATTTTTACCGTTCTTATTTCAAGACTGACAAAAAACGGAAACTCAAAAGACAAATTCTGACACTAATCATGTGATGTGTATAGTACATGTTTTCTTTACGTAATAGTTGGACAAAACAGTAGCAGCATGGCTTTTTGAGGTCCATTGTCACTCGATTACATTTAGGAAAAATATTTCTTTGTTCGATGAAATCTCCCAATTTTACGTTACCAAATATACAACACAACGCGCTTAAAGCACCCCACTCCGCGAAGACAGAAATCACACATTTAGGCAGAGCGCGCGCACGAGGCTTCGTGCTGACCGGAAGTGGGCGGAGCCGGGACTTCCGGCGGGGGCTTGCGCCTCGCCAGGGGGCGCCAGCGAGCTACTAGATCCGCTTCGGCCGCGTAACACGAAGCGCTTGGCCGCTCGGGTTGAAGAAAGGAAACCACACAAAAGTTTTTTTTTCTCCGTTTACTGACTCGTCTGCTGATTCGTTCGCCGCGCTCGCGCGGGCGATCGGAGTCAGCGAAACAGTTCACTTGGGGGGGACAATGGATGATGACGAACGCCGACACACGTTGGATGCATTCGACGGAGGGAAATATGTACACATCATTCAGGAAATATCTTGAAAACGGAACTAAAAACACAGTTCGGGGAGTAACTCTCCTTTGGCTACCCAAGTTAAAGAATTCCCAACACACAATTATAATAAGTATGTCCCAGTGCCTCAAAAATATACAACAATAGTTCTTTACACGATATTAGACTGTGATATAGGCCCTTGTCACACTCTAGTTCGAACCTCTCCAAAAATGGGTTACCAGTTTTTACCTAAAAGTCCATTCACTCGCCTTGCAAAGTTTTTTTGTTATTGAAAAGATTCAGCAAGTTAAGTATTACACATTCGCTGCCACTACGTATCAGTCAGTGAGAACGAACCGTTGCTTCCGTCTTCTCTCCTTGAGTTAAAACGTGGAATCGCCGAGCGCTGCGTCTCTCTTGCGGCCGGCCGTTCCCAGTGTCGGGAAGGACGTGGGAGTCAAGAGGAGCGCAATAAAAGGGAGCCGAGGAACCAGACGGGCGCAGCGGTGGGCGCTAAAGTCGCCTCAAACCGCCTCAAGCCGCCCGACGGCTCCTGGCCCCGGATGGGTGTCTACGCGGCTCGATCTCTCAGCGCCTCCGCGGCAGGAGGGCAAGCTATGGATAGACGAGCTCTGTGAAATCCGCGTTTGGGGCACAAAACGAGGCAATATAAGGACGCGTATTCAGCTGATCATTTTGTCACAAACAGTGTGTCTACAGTGAAGTATTATTTTTTTGTAGAATTATTGAAAATCTGGTACTGTTTTGATGCATAGAAAGCTGTCTTAAGTACTACCCAGTAAACGGTTTGTTGAAAAATGAAGAACAATCTTTTAAAAATGACCCAACGTTGTCGGTCATGCGATAATTTGAAGTGTTGCGCACAACACACAACTTGGATTATTTTTAATATATTTTTATTAATCTATACTTTACATATATTCATTTCCTCTTCTGGTACATGATCGGATTTAACAGAGCGCACGATATTGCTATCCATTTGCTTCAACCTGCGAGATCTAGTCACGTGGACACGCATGCACACACACACACACACGTATTTCTCACGCCAAAGCGCGGCGCTTGCATCGCAAGATCAAAAAAAAAAGGGAGTCCATGAGAGACACGGATTGGCCGCTCCTCGAACTGAAGAGTCGAAGTATTTTTCTTTTCCTGAACAAGCAGGTACCAGCTTGGCACTTTAAAAAAGAATTCTTCGCACTCCCAAAGACACAATCGCACCCCCCGTCGGGCCTCTTCTCTTGCACGTCACTCCTTCCAGTTGCTGCCGCCCCGCTAAGGGCACTCCCACCTGCATCCAGAACACGAGACGACACCACACCGAAATGTAGAAATGAGTTTTTTTCAGTTTTTTTTAAATAGTTCGTTCTTCGACCAAAGTGGACACGAACGAATCGCCCTTCAAAACATTCGTTTAAATATTCTTTTATGTACATACACAGTAGTCGGACAAAGTCAACTGCAGCTTCCGCACACAAGCCGCCTTATAGAATCCCTAAATCTGGTCCGATATATCGATTTTTCTGCACAACAATCCATAAAATTGGGGAAGGAAATTCCCTTTCTTGAGGATATTTATCACAATTACATAAACGAGTTTTTACACTGAAAGCATAAAGAAAAATCCACAAGTAAAAATAACAATTATTGGAAAAATCGATACATCGTCGGTGATTACAATATTCTAATATAAGTATTACTTGACAGTTATAAAAAGACGTCTACCAAATGTCCTTTTGCATTCGAAATTGCGTGACACAAACAATGAAAAATTAGTTAGGACTACTGACGTCGTCAGATGAAGTATCGATTTTCGATCGACCCAAACTGGGAAGCCAATGAAGCGCCGTCTCTGCGAGAGCAGCTGGCCCCCCCGAGTGCAGGCGATCGACGCATCGATTTTCGAGAGTGTGCCGGCTCGGCGGAAGCTGCAGCGGCGGCGGGGGCGGCGTTGGCGGGGAGCGCGCGCGGGGCCGCGTGGCGGCGGGGCGGGCGGGGCTGGGCGGCCGGGGCAGGGCTGGGGCGAGGGCGGCGGCGTGGGCGTAGGGGGGCGGCGGTGCGGGGCGAGTGGCGGCGGCGAGCGGGGCGGATAAGGGCTTCCAGCCTTACGTGTCGGTCCAGGCGAGGAGGTTGCTGGCCCAGCCGCGGAGGGCCAGCAGGCGAGCGGCGCGCGGTGGCGGCCGCAGGCAGGCGCCCAGCCCCAGGCCGGCCGACAGGTGGCTCCACCATCGGCCCGGGATGGGCGACGCGGCGTTCTTGCCGCGTTGCATGGCGGCCGGGTGCTCGCCTGCGGACACAGGGGCGGCGCGGTCATGGCCGTACGACGCCGCGTCCCACTCTGTGGCAGAGCACAGAGCGCACAGCGCTCAGCGCACACCGCTCCACGCACGCACCGCGCGCGCGCCTCGCACGCACCACTGGATACGCAACGGCGCGCCCGAACGCGTCCTGCCTTCGAAATCTACGCTTGTCGCCTTTGCTACTTTACGCTTATACCCTACTTTGCGGGTTCAAACCCGGTCGACGACGTGGATTTTAAATCCTTCGTACGCCTTCCTTCAAAAGGGAAGTAAAGCCGTCTGTCCCATGTAGATTGACTGCATGCAAAAGATACTCAAAACTAAATGAACCTTCGCCTGTTTCGTCACCCGAGTGAGTGATTATTTCTCCGCTAGATAGTGAAAGGAGCTTGGCGAAATTTGCCTGGTCAGACGGAAGGGCAGGCCTGATGGCCTGAGTCTCTCCCCGTGAAACGTTTCATTAAATTGAATTTGGATTCTGCAGGCATGGGAGCAAATCCATTTCATAGGACCTATAGAAATGTCGCGCCTTTATTTAGTACTAAATGGCTGAAAATGTAGAATTGTCTAAACAAAGTGGCAAATATAATGGATATGAATAAATAATAAACATTTGTTTTACCTAAATGGAATAATGTAAATTAAAAATAATATTATACATTATTTACGATGTAGGAAAAGAGTTCTGGTAATAACGTAATTTTTAGATATTCGTTATTAAAAAAGTGCAGGTTTATTTTTACCTTCTAATTTATTAAAGAGAGAAATGGAAATAGGATATGAGCCTTTGATGTTAAAATTGAAATCATACATAATTATGTAGTACCAAATCTCTTTACTGAATCATTGAAAGCATTTGAAGTTCTATGCACACACAGTCGTATATCCTGGTTTTAGTTTTACAGATAGAATTTCCCCTAATCCGACCTTCTAATCCAATATGGCGACAATTGAATATTTCTACAGTAGGACACGTTCAAGCTACCTTTTCTTATACAATGGCATATCCAGTAATGTTAGAGATCAGTTCTTCCACTGTATTGCCGCTTGCAATTGCCTTAAAAGATAAGTCAAGTTGCTCCTTTTTTGTGTGCGCGGACTAATGTTGATATGGGTTTTCGCTGCCGCAATCAATAGTCATTGCACCCTGAGGGATACAGCGTTCTATGAAGAGTTGCCGACATTTCGATTGACATTCTGCAATCTTTTTTCAGGAATAACTTGCCGTGAAGTATTCTTCTCTGAAGAAAGACGAAGTATGACAACCGAAACGTTGGCAACTCTGCCTAGTACGTGGTAAATCCTGAAGTTTCAGAATCTACGATAATATACATAATTTACTTTAAAATAAAAACAGATGTCTCATATGAAATGTTAATTAATTATTAAGCAATAATCCGTTAATTAAACAATTCTCAATACCAGATAATTTACATAAGGTAACAATATTTCGATTCTTGAATATCAATTTTCAGTCTAGAATTTTGGTATGAGAAGCCATGAGACCGTTTCAAAAAGTTGTATTTGTAGTCGTCCGTTACGAATATTTTGAAGCAACTTGACTTCACTAAGTGACGTCAGCAAAGCGACTGGATTTGCGTGCTCGAAGCGTTCTTACCACATCGCTGTCAGCTGCAAGGACGCTTAAGTGCATTGAAAAAGCAAAGCTTTTAACTCCATTTTTATACCTGGTATTTCATATTTTTGCTGTGAATAAAACATCGTGAGCTAATTGTTTGTGCGTTAATATTTAACAAAACCGAAGTAAATTAAAAAGTTCATTAAAAAAGCGTGTACTTTGTGCTGCATAGCATTGTTGTTAAAAATGATGAAAAAAACTTACATTTATTTAAGTGAAAATGTGCAATGCACATTTATTTTGATCAATAAATTTGTAATTTCCGTTGCAATAAGACTTGCGTTATTCTATTTAATTTGTTTGATGTTTTTATTTATTGATTAGATGTAAAATAGTTGAAAACCAAATTACTGAAAAGCTTCTTGATATTATAATAATTCTCTAATTATTTATTTAATTAGCTGCTGAATTTAAACGTAAAAAATATAATATTAAGTGCAAATATACCAAAGAATTATTTTTAATATACCAATGATTTATTTTTAACTAGAAAGTTGCGAACTGGAAAGGGGAGTTTTCAGTAGACAGGAGTTACTTTTGGTAAATATAAGTATTGACAAAATGCAACCATGAGATAGTGAGAAGAGACATGACTGATGATGATACATCTTATCTCGTGAATGAGAAGTGTTATGAGACAGTGTGGATGTTTTTGTGGTGGTATATTTGTGAATACATGTGGCTTTAGAAGTGGGTTTAGAAAATCAGATTACAGAATTTATTGGAATTAAAGAAAAAAGGGGAAAAAGAGAAGGTGACACACTAACACTGGAATTGTCAAGTTAATAATCAAAATCTTCAAATAACACTTATAATAAGATTATTCCGTTTTATAGTACAATCAATTAAGTATTAATCAAATTCAAAATTAAATAACTGTCTTTTATTTTCCCATAGTTGTCAAAAGGTTATCAGTTATAGCTTATTCTTGGTTTTTGATATGCTGCACAGTTTTATGAATGTATCGCATTTCGTTTCTTAGTATTTCATCGTATAATCCAAAATACGTGAGATTGTGTTAGGTGTGTATTTATTTTAAGCTCATCACCTACATTCTGCGCAAGCAATGGAAGCCCGTGCTCCACTTATTCGTCCCTGATAAAGCGTCACGCGCAGCGGTGCTTGTCGTCAAGCACGCGCAGAGCCAGGAAGGAGGAACAAATAGGGCGGGCGAGCTCGAGTAGTTGTTTGAACCCGCTCGCCTCCTGCTTTCCCGTCAGTTGTCCCGCCGAAAGCAATTACGTAACGGATTTTATTGACTGAAATGTCGATATACTTCACACCTCTCGGAGCATCTCCCTGCTACTTAACGATGATACGTATTTTTCCGTTGGGTAAGAAAGCTCGAACGTGTATATGAGGAGTTTTGACGCACACCTGGAAGCCTATTTATACACCCCCGCAACCACGTACATGCCCACCCACTAAACCATGGCGTGCAACGCATCTTAAGAGTAGTCAAATTAATCTTCAATTTGATCTAAAGTGTAGACGAGTGTTTATTATCGGCTTGAAGCCCACATCGTGCACATGCAATGCCCAAATGCAAGCAAGCACATGCCACATTTGCATCTCCTGGTGTGCAGCTCTTCTCTTGAAGGCCACTTTACAATACTTTCTCTTCGTCTATAACACAAGAAAGCTAAAAATAAGTGAATAGGCGAGTTAGTGGTTGTGTATTTGATTTCGACTTGACGTTTGCAATCTACGCACGTAATCTTTCGCATGCCATTCACCTCTGACATATTTCTAGAACTGCATCACCTTATGTGTGCTTTGTGTATGGTGACACCCGAAGAAAGATCGAATACGAGCTAAATGTTTGAGTGCTTCGTTAAAATTTGACGCGCCGGACTCTTGCTGCAATTCCCTTCTAATTAACAAAATTATATTTTTCAAAATTTTCAGGAATGTGCTAAGCAAGATCTTGAAAAAAAATATTATAAATTATATCTTTAATATTATTGCATTTTTTAAAATTATGTTTTATAATAAAATTTATTCTTCCTCCTGACATTAACTAGTGGTCCTATAAATAAACGCTTTCTTAAGTTTTTAATGAAAGTCATCACAAAAAAAAATATTATAAACGCTCCAGCATGGGTGCAGAACAATTTGTGTGAGCTCCAATGAAATAAAGTAAAATGAAATAACCCCGTCCCCGACTGGAGCACGTGCCGAGTGCGTGGAGCGCCTGGGCTCGTGGAGGCTTACCGTTGAGCACGTGCAGCAGCACGGAGGCGGAGTCGAGGTTGGAGGGCGAGCACGTGTAGTTGCCCGAGTCCTCCCGCTGGCCGTTGTAGATGACGAGCGTGCCCACCGTGGTGTCGGGGCCCACGCGCTCCATGCGGATGTCCTTGGCCGTGCGGTCGTAGTTGAGCACGCGTTCGCTGTCGTGGTACCAGAAGATGTACGCCGGCTCCTCCAGGGACTGCGTGATCACGCACTTGAGGTTCACCGTGCTGCCCGTCTTCACGTAGATGTCCGACTCGCCCAGGATCTCGATCTTGGGAACTGCGGGAGAAGGCCAGACCAGCGTTAGAGAACGACTTCAAACACGGGGCAGCGAAAAAAAAACATTAAAAATAATAGTCCATAAGTTAGAATAATAATAATAATAATAATAATAATAATAATAATAATAATAATAATAATAATAATAATAATAATCACACAAACTAAAGTCTCCTGACTCAGTGCAATAGTCGTGTAGTCGGAATTGGAAATAATGTAGCCAGTTATCAAAATGACCCACTAATGAGGTAGGTCATTAAATCTGTCCGAAGAATGAGTAACAGAGGAAGCGGAGCTATGGAAGTGTAGCAAGAAGCATTGCGAAGAAGACTATGCACGACACGTAGAGTAATACACTGAACTTATGATGCAACTTAACATGAAATGTGAGACAGACAAAATGTTATAAAATTGTGGAGATACACTCCATGGTCAATATCTAACAAGAATGGACAAGATGCCTATCAGTAAAGACCATTTATGTGGCTTAAAAGGGGAAGAATATGAAGAGGAAGAATCAGAAGCAGTTGCAATAGCTGCCCAAGAGCAAGCCTTGAGAGCAGCACATTATGATAAAGCGGTTTTAAAAACTTCTCAAGATTATAAATGCCGCATTTGCCAGAACCAAGGAGAAACCACTGATCATATCGTCTCAGCTTGTCCAATTCTAGCTAAGACCGAATACTTGAAAAGTCACGAAAAGGTGTGTAATTATATCCAATGGCAGATCTGTAACTCCCTCGATGTTCCAAGCACATGCCCCAAGTGCTACCAACACTCACCAAAACCGTGACATCTATTGGATTATGTACAATACTGTTCGACCAGCAAATTCAAAATGATCGCTCGGTAGCGGCAAACAAATCGGATAGTATTATCCGGAATCTGGAGAAAAAAACGTGTCTACTTGTAGATGCGGCTGTATCGTGCGATGAAAACTTCGCAACCAAGAAGGCAGAGAAACATCTTCAATACAAGACTTTGGATATCTAGATCAGGTGAATGTGAGACGTCAAAGCATAGGGCATGTCAATAGTTATCGGAGCTCTTTGCACACGTGTATCGGAGAGTACATTCCCACAATATAGAAAATGCTCTTCAATATCGTACATTCCCACAATATAGAAAATGCTCTTCAATATCCATTCAGCTGTGTCGTTAGCAGCGACGCACTCCATTTAAGAATCAGTAGGTACGCGCAGTATAAGAATCGGCACAATCGAATATTTGCATTTTTCAATGAAAATTGCACTTTAACTGTTTTTGAATTTTTTCGACTCCCTGGTTAAAAAACAAACAAAAAGCAGACCCCTGACACTTGGCCGGAGGCTGCAAAGTCTCCTGTCAATTTCTGCACCCATTGGAAATTATTAATAGTATGATAAATAATATTTTTATGCAGTGGCATTCACGGGTGGTCCGTAAAGCACATGATATTTTGGTGGAAAATACATCATTCTACCTAGTTATTTTACTTTATATCTCTCAGTGATCACAAGTGAAAAAAATGTTATTTCTTCAAAAATATATCATTATTTAAAAAAAATATTTTGAATATAAACAGGATTCATGACTTTACACCGTTGTATAAGATTTTGATAACTATTTTCTTGATAAGCAATGTAGGCTTTCAAGGCTGGATCCACAATTCAAATTACCTTCCGGGCTGGCCGGCTATGGTCTAGAGGAAATCATATTTCCATATTCATCGTAGCAAACATCTTCAGTGGCGAAGGGGTTATGTGCTTCATACAATTGTTTTTAAACTAATGAAATAATTAGTTTAAAATTATTTTAAAATTTTATTAGTTTAAACTAATAAATTAATGAAAATATATAGACTATGATCAATGGATAATTGTTCTCAATGTTAGGTTTTCAAACGACGCTCTTCTTGGCCGAACATGTGCACGATAATGAAGCTGAATAAGAACTATCATTATACAACGATCTGAAGACATCAAATATGATAATTAAACAACAGCAGTAGAAAAATAATTTTGTTGAAAGCGAGTTTTCTGGTTTGTCATTTTTATCACTGTTTTCTACCGTAGAATAAGAGGAAATGTATATACAATGGTCTTAAATTGCGCTATCATTACTAAAAAACATAATTTAGAAAGTACTTGAAAACAAAACATTTTCAGGTTAGGAAATTACCTTAATAATGGCTAGATAATATACTTCTGAAGAACTCCAGGTCAAATTAATTCCCATACCGCAGTCGCCATTAACGGAAATGAAGAATTGTAATTTCTTAAAGTTCATTTAACGCCCTCTTCTTGAGAAGTAAATAAACTGGGTCACTGATAGCAGCATCTACCGTTCTTTGTAAGCGGGCTAATGCCCATCATTCATGCATGCACGCCTACATCCGACGTTCAACTTTTGAGATAACATTTATTAATTTCTTCCCTGTAATTATTAAACTTGCAAACTTAAGATATGAATTCATTTTGAAAAATAATGTTTCCTGCATTAAGTTTTAATCCACGTTCTACGTAATTCAAATGAGAACTGCTGAGAATGCACTGAGTGAAGAAGTGCTAAACATCATCAAATGAAGGTATTATGTTCACCTAGTGTACGAAAACAGATTCACTTATATCACCTACAATTTATAGACAGGCAAACCTAGCATAACAAATCGTCACAAAGAAAGGAGAAATTTCTGATGTATAAAAGCCAATGATTTTACTCAGTGAAAAGGAGTAAAAATATATCAAATAGCAATCAATGTAGTAGATAATACTAAAATTAAAGATATGGTCTAAGGCAAAATTACTAGCTTGTATTTTGTAGTTTTGAAATATTAAGTTTTTGCAAGTTTCAAAAATACGGGGAGTTTGCGAATAATGGGACCATATTTGTATCGCCTCTTACGAGGGGAAAATTTATAAAAAAGCTTTGGAAAATGGTAACATATATTTCATTTGATGGTCAACGAATTTCAGCTTAGATTGATATACGAAATTGATTTTGAGAAAAACTAAACAAAGACATCTTTTTTTTTGCGTTATACATGAATTCTTGTCATTCAAAATTTGTACCAAAGAAAGTCAGATTGATTAACGTTTCTTAAATTTGATAATTATAAATTATAATTGTAGAGGAATAATAATTTTAAGGTCAAATGTAACAGACAAAAAGTTCACATTTATGAAAATTCTTGAAGTGAAATTATGAAAAATTATGAAAATTCGTCTAGCAGAATGTTTCTCGCCTGCTCCACTTTGGTAAGTTTTTCTGTTATAGATTTAGTTTTTATAATATTTTGGATTTTTTGAAAAAGTCCCTAATCCATAGGGTCGAAACGTCGTGTAGTATTAAGAATTTTCATAAATGTGAACTTTTTGTCTATTACATTTAACTTAAAAATTATTTTAAAACATCACAGACAAATATAAAATTATGTCGAGAAAATTAGTTATAATTAAATTTGTCGTTATTAATGTAGTTTTATTTAACATTGAATAAACGATATTTAAAATATTTCTTTATATGATTCCGAGCACTTCAATTGCTGTGGTCATGAATCCCGTAAGTACAGTGCATGGTTTTATCTCAGTGGTGGCGATGATTTTCTCGCGCTAGATGGTGAGATCTACACACGTCGGTTTGAATTTACCCCGACCAGGAATCTCCAACGGCGGGACAACGGCCTAGCCGGGACCAAGTCTCAGCTTTCGATTTGACGTCCCCCATGTATGGTAGTGTAGTGAATGTAAGTGTTTTTGTGCGTAAGTAAGGGGTGAGAATATCGTATGTGGACCATGACCCGTTGGTTAGGTTACAGCTCCAGCATTCGTCTGATATTGATAGAAGAATCCACGGAAAAATACTGACCAGAGCAGCCGGTCGCAAGTATTAACCCACCAACAGCGACTGAATAAGACAGAGCTTTCTAGGTACTATCGAAAATCCGCAATCGCTGAAACTCGAACCCAGGACCTTCAGGCCAGGGTCGTTGCAGAGGCTCTGAGCTTCTGAGCGGCGGTTCTCTCTCTCGTAAAAATGACTATGGCATTACGTCGAATTACGGAAATCTACAACAACAAAAAAAGGAGTAACAAGAGCAAGTACAGGAGCACACTATTTTCGTTTCTGGAATAAATACGAAAGCGTTCCTCACGGTTTGGTTCGTTCTCTCACTCCTGGATCACCGAAACTTCTCCCAGGACCGAACGCGTGCAGTGTGCGTGTTCCAGGGACAAAGGAAGCGTTACGAAGTTGGCCAGCCTGATTCGGTTCCGTGTTTTCGGCCGCCCTCTTCCTCGGCCATCGTTTTCACCGTCGCACGTTAACGCAATTACGCCCTCCTCGCGAACGAGCGGCGCGAGGGCAGGGCAAGGGCAAGGACAAGGGCAAGGGTGGCGCCGCGAGGGACGCGGCCCTTGATGACGTATTACGCGGTCGCCTCACGTGTCCCGGTAAACAATTACGCCACCCCTCAAAGGCGCCACCTCCGCTCCCGGGGGCGGCTCGGCGCGAGGGACGGCGTCAAAGCTCAGGCGCTGGAATCCGATTCTGGGCGGACGGACGCTGCGTTTCCGGGACGAAGGAAAGCTCATCCATTAAGAGAACAGGCGGCGGTAGCGGCGGGCCAAAATGACACTGCCGGGAGCGGACCGATTGTTGGGAGGTTGGTGGTTCGAATTCGGCAACTGCCAGATTTGCGGTGGTATTTGAATACTGAAGTCGAAGGCTTCCGCGGCCAGAGTCATGTGATCGTGATCTGGGCTGTCCGGGTGACGCCGCGTCGAAGGCTGTGTTGCCGACGTTTCGACCTTGACGTGGTCTTCCTCAGGGCTGGTATTTGAATACTGGCGAGGTTTTGCCGCTTGTTCGATCAATTTGATTGATCGAATGTTCTCATCAGTGGTTACTTTGTTTTTTCTGGTTACTGCCAGGAGAAAATAGAGGTAGCACTCTACCAACATGTGACGAATTCAATGGATGAATTTCATATCTTCAGATCAAGAAATATTACTCATTTCAAATCGATATTTGTAGGAAAACTGTTTTGTTCTTGGTTGAGTTGCTACTGTAAAATGTTTTCATTTATTATTAATACAAACTTTAACTGGAAAATATACTTTTTAAACATATTTCTTCTCTTATTTACAAAAATCGTGATATTTGAAAGATGTCAATGTCAGATTTTCTTATGCACCGATTATAGGAACACTGTACGAGGAAATGCAGAAATCACGTAATTGAATAATGCGATATAAAAAAAATTGTTCAACCAACTGTGACGGTACCACTACCTAATGAAAATAATGTTGTGCCTATGAGTTAAACTTTTAAGAAGAATATAGCAGACACCTGCAGGCTACGTATTCGAAACAATCCTCACCGAGATACACAACCGAGTGGTTACTGCTAGTGATCAAACGATTTTCCTGTCAGCAGTGAATACTGTAGAGGTTCACTCTATAACTATAATTATAATTGCAAAATAAGTTGAAGGGCTCGGAGCAGCAACAAGATCAGCCACACCAAAACGGTCTACATCAGTACGGCCGCCGCGGAAGCTTCCCATTTGTAAATTTTAGTATTTCGATTTTGGTCGTAACGTGTAACCTTGTTCTACGCCGACCCATACATGAATATCAACAAGATATCAAATCATTAATATGTGTGTGTAACTTGTTTAAATGCAAACATGATAAGGCTCACATTCCCAAATTGACATTTTCAAATAGTGAGAGGTCGGCTGAGGCTGTGACTAGTGTGGCTAATCTTTTATTGTCCCAAGGCCTTCAGTTGTAAGTTAAGTGTGTAAAAATGCGAAGGCCTGAGCGCTCACATCCAAAGGTCGTGCCTCGCAGAAGCGCAGTTCCTACCAGTGTGCGCAGGGGGGGGGAGGGAGTGAGACGGCGGGCCCCGGACCCGGTCGGCTGCTGCCTGCCGCTAATGAGAAACGAGAGCAGCGACGGGCAGCGGGGTGGGCAGGGGCAGGGGTCGGCTGTAGCTTTCTTTGCTCGGTGCTGGGGGAAGGGTCAGAAAGCAAACACCGGCGACGGCGGAGGTCATGAGAACGAACGGTCTGTGTTTTCTGCGCTGGTTGCGCGGACCTCCAATACGAGTACGCCGCCCCCGACTCGTCGCTGGCGACGGGCGGCGGAAGGCGGTTTATTAGAGTGGATGTCGCCTTGGAATACTGTTCAAGGGGAAATTCATTCCGTCCCTCCCTCCATGACTTTCTCTCTTCCCTCCCTTTCCCTGTGTGCCCACTTCTCTCTCTCTCTCCTGCTCTCTCTCTCTCCTGATCTCTCTCTCTCCTGCTCTCTTCTTCTGACCCTGACTCTTAATATCTGTAACTATCTCCATATCTTTCACTCCCCCTTCCACTTTCCACCGTTCTCTCCTGTTCCTCATCTCCCATTCCGATTCCATCTCGCTCTTCAGATCTTCCACTCTCTCTGTTCCTTTCACTTACTGCATTGATTTCATTAGCTCCGTGTCTTTCATTCTTCTTCTTCTTCTTCACCATCCCTCTTAATCAACTTTTTCTCATTTTGTTCTCTTCTTCACTGTTTCCCGGGCCTCTCAATTTCCCTCCAGGTCTCTCCCTCTCTTTTCCTATCTCTTCCTGTCTCCTTTCTCTCCCTCTTTCGGTCTCTCTCTCTCTCTCTCTCTCGCTCTTGATTTGGCTTCATTGTAATAGATAATGCAACGTTATCCTCCAATCCTTCCGAATGTAGGTACATTTAGAGGATGAGCAGCGCGGCAGTCAGTCAATGCAGTTTATCTGTGCAGGAACTTATGAGCTTATATGCAAAGTGACGTATCTCAATTCCATTAGTTGCCTAGATTTTCGTATCAATATCATCTTAAGACGCTTTAAAATGTCACGTTTTTTAACGCGACCTTAAAAATTACGTTTGTTTTATGTTAAACCGTGCCCGGAAACCGTTAAATCATTTCTTGCTGTAGAAAGCAAAAGTGTTCTTTTCTGAAAGCTGAATGGAAATTAACTCCTTTACTGTGACATGGCCACTAAATGACTTTGACTTGACAATGATCTTGCTCTCGAGAGTCAACGTTGTATTGCTCTTGGGAGACAGCGGCGTATTGGTGATAACCAAGGTTTTCAAACTGAAGTATACTACTTTGCAAGGGTACCCAGAAAGGTTCAGCTAGTAGGTACGTTAACAATATCAGTAGACAGATTTACTGAAGAAATTATCTACTTAACCCAATAAACTCGTATATATTAGTTTTCTGAACATATGATTTTGCAAAAAAACTGAACGCCCGATTATACTTATGAATCCGCCTTTAGTAATTCCAGTATTTTCGTCTTACTATATTATTAAATTATGTTTACAATTATTACGTAAAACTATTCAGTGTCATTAATAATTTCACTTACCATAACGTTGCACAATTATGATTATTCAAATTGAGATTAAAACATTTGTAAAGTAAACGTTTTATACGAATACAAAATGCGGTGTTATTTTTTTATCAATGAACTGACGCAAGTGTTTATTGATGGGTGATAAATACAACTTTTCCCACCTTTAATTAGCAGTCTGGCGGCACATGCACTAGTGAAAAGTTGTTCGAGTGCACGCGGACATTACTGAGATGAAATTCTTGCAAAAATTAATAGCGCTCTTTCCTTGCAATGGCCCAGTATCTGTTGCTGTGTGCCAATGAGAAAGCTCTCTTCTCAGGTGGAGAAGACCAGAATACAGCGAAGGGATGGCTGTGTGCTAACCACACGTACCCCATAACACATGCCCGCAAGGCCGAGACGTTGCTGGTAGACCTTAGCTCGTAAATAACTGTTGTGCCAAATTACATACATACATACATCATATGAATTTTAGCTCACGACGCACACTAATTCCCGAATCGATCCTGAAGATCGAATCGTTTATACAAGTTATAACTGAAATAGGTTTGATTGAGACTATATCGGTGACGACAGCGTTCAGACTTTTGACATAAACAGGTAGTTATTACATTTGAGAACAATAAAAGAGCTTTTGAGAAGTACAGAGTCCTGCAAAATTTGTAAGACACTCTATCAACAGAAGAACAAATTAGTTATCTGAGAGATAGACAGGTGTACCACAGGCTTATCTAAGTAAATATAAAAAAAATATTTCATTAAAAAAGGTTTAATCGTTTAGCACTATGACGACTAAAAGGGCATTTTGGAACATTTTCTCGTGAGTATATAGATATATTTTAATTTTTGCCCTATTTAAAGAGTACCATCTGTTTGGGACAATTGGTTTAAAGGATAGTCTCATGTGTGTTTCAGGATGATCGAATTGGATAGAAATAATAGCACAATTTACTCAGGGCGTTCCAGTTTACGTTACTACACGAACTTGTTGATTGCGCCAATAATGCACGTCACATACACAGCACACTGTGTTGAAACTTGCAAGATAAGCAAAGCTGACGAGCTCATGGAAATCTGGTGTTATTTCTGAGCCTCACTGGTATCTACAAATTCACTTGTAATGTGTACTTCATTGAAAATTAAATTAATTATAAAATATGACTATATTTAACGCTTTCTACTTCGTACTCTTCGTAATATACAACTCAACTATACAAATCGACTACACACCAATATTACTATTTTACAGACATGCGATGTCAACTTGTTTTTGCAATTCAAATATTGAATTATTAAAAAAGGAAGCTTCCGAAAAAAGGATGCATTTTTCAAAGAAATTATTTTTTAAAATTTTAATCCGTACTCTTCTTTTTTTATTATTTTCCCTCTTGACATCAAAGATTTTGCATTTTCTTAAACGAGAACACTAATTACTCAGAGTTCCTTGCCAACACATCTGTTTGGACGACGTCGTGAGTGCGTCTCGTGGACGCGTAGGTGTCGCGCAGCGGTTGCAGCCCGCGGCGGCGGCGGCGGCGGCGGCGGCCACCGCGGGGGCTCATCGGGGGCGCGCAAACAAGCCGGTCTCCGGGCGGGTGCTCGTGTCTATACGCCGCGGCCGCGAAAGTCTCCGCTTTGTTTCTGTTGGGCAAACACCAACAGCGGCGTCGCCCGAGGGACGCCCGTGGATAGCGCGGCGCGGCGCCCGCTCCCTGCAACGGCGGCAGACACGAAAGCGCGCCCGATCTGTCGCCCTGCCGGTTGGTGGTTTCCCGGCGGGATGATTTGAGGCCCCCCCCCCCTCGGTGACGTAGGAAGTTGAAATGGATTGATTGTTTGCGATTTCGGGCGTGTCAACCAATTAGGTCGTTAATGCCGTAAATGTAGTACATGTTTTTCCGGATGGTGGCGTTGACCCACCGTTGGATAGCGGGGTTTTCCATATCAGGTATATCCCACCAGCGGGGCACTACCCCAGCCGGGTCAAGCTCTAAGCTCCCGATCGATCTCCCGGCATGTGTGGAAGCATAATGCATGTTGGTGTAAGTGTGAAGTGAGGATAGGAGAAGGAAGGGTAAGCAAAGATGCTCCGCGTGCGGTCCGTGGCCCGTTTGTTAGGGTAATCCTCCGGGATTCACCTCATGTTGATCGGAGAAACCACAAAAAAACTTCCGATCAGAGCAGCCAGTCGCTAGAATTCTCTTCAAGACAGCGACTGAATTGGATATAGCTGACAAGCTATTGACAAAAATTCTGCCACCGTCGGGACTCCAACATCTCCCGGCCAGAGGCATTGGTTGATGCGCAGGGGTTTGAAGAAATGGATCTTACTCAGCTTATATCTCAATGTGAGTTCAGGCCGACTGTTCTTGATTGAATGCGATTTCAGCGTCCACGTAGCGCATAACTAGAAGTAATCCGGACACGCTAATTAAGAAGTTAACACAGCTCCTTCCACTTGTGTGAGGAGAAAGTGAAACACTTGACCATACCCAGGAAATCATTACTTTATGTAAAGCTCGCAAACAAAATAGCCAATTAAAAATAATTGTCACTGAATTCACATATCCCATGAATGGGTGCAATGTAGTCTGTATTACTAATTGCGAATACACACATACATTCACTGAAAGCTAAGCCGCCTCTGGTATTTGTCTATTCAAACGGTCACAGGTCAAAATCAGTGGTATCGTTAGATTCGCAGAAACTCGAGAATAATACAAAAACAATAAAAACATTTCCATTTTGACTGATGTTTTGTTACAAAACTACACAATTTCTTATATTTAAAGATACATCTATATTCTCATACTCAGAATTCTCATTCTCATACTTGTTGCGTCACAAATGACATCGCGTGACGAGAAAGAAAGAAGCTTCAGTAGTCACGTATGCTGTTTCAGTTCAGCAAACTACCACTGCAATAACCAATCGCGGAAAATGGAAGGCATCGATGCACAAACTTCATCCCTGGCATACTCGGAAATCGAGTATGCCATTCGTCATCATCATAAAAACAAAAACAACAACAGGATGTTTTGACTCACATTCTAAGCAAAGAGACAGAGACAAAGTAAGTTCCCCTGGTAATAAGAATGGCAGCTGCTGTCTCTGTTGCAGACAAAGAATGTATGTTCATCGCAGATTCAAATTCTGCTGTTGGAATTGGTGTTTGTCATGTGTTCGGTGTGTGTGAGTGTGTGTTTGTCTGTGCAAGTGCGTGCGTGTGTGTGTGTGTGAGTGTTTGCGCGCGTGTGTGCGTGTGTGTGTGTGTTTGTGTGTGTGTGTGTGTGAGTGTGTGTGTACGTATGTGTGTGTGTGTTGGCGCAGCAGAACTCGTGTTCCGCTATCCCTAGGTCTGAAAAACCTGCCGGTATGCTATGTTTTGTGTGATTCAGGAGAAACATCGGTTGTGCGTGGGTTAGAATAGAGAGGAAAACCATCGTACTCAAAATATTATGCGAATGAGCTGAAAATTCGAAATAAAAGTCGTTTAACATTGTATTAGCAATTTGTATTTACACACTTCACATATGAGTTGAACAAAATATTTGAATATTTGACTGTTTCAAAAGACCTGGGTAATCCCGTTGTTCTCGATTACTTTTATACGTGCGCAACAGGAGTGCAGGACGCGCATTAAATAGAGGGGAGTCGGGTCCGGGGGAGTTTGTTCACATGACGTTATAAACCACGCGTAAGCCCCCTGGGTGCGACCATGCTGCTGGAGCGGTCTAGCATAGATCTACATGTTAGGGCGGCTAAAAGGCTCCATCGGAAAATAATGACTGAAATATAATCCTCCATTAACTTTACAAAATACGCAACAAAAATTGTGAAATAGGAGAATTTAATGCACCGAAAACGTAAATAGCATAGAAATAAATACAATACACTATTTTGCCAATAATGAGAACATTACCGTTTTAGCAATACATAGGGATGTACGGAAATCTTTATGAATGTTGTGAGAGTTGACTCAGGGTTCAACTGATGTCACAGCAGTGCTTCTGTCTGGGAGGTGGTAGGTGGAGGTGGGAGGTGGAGGCCCGATAGTGGCAGGATTTTCGATACTAGCTACGTAGCTGAGTCGAGTTCAGCCGCTGTCTGGAGAAGTATTCAAGGGGCCGGC